TTCAAGTTGTAATAATGGGCAAAGTTTCCTCAAAATCGGTGACCATGCGTGGCGAAGAAGTTTAAGTAGTTACATGTACAGAGAATAGCTCTTAAATTGATTTCACAGTAAATTATTGTGCTTAAGCAGGCTTGCTCTCTGTAAATTGTATAAACAATATTGAAGGAATTTTGTTCAAAGTTTGTAACCATCACAGATATACAAGATTTGCGGATAATTTATTTTCAAACTATGATATTTTTGTTCCTTTAGATTTTATCATCAATTCTCTGTAAGGACCAAAATTTTACTGTAGGGCTGTGGCACACACCATGAGCGATTTTCATGAAACTTTTTTAGGTGATTAATGCCCATACATTATGACATAATCAACATTCAAAATTAAGGTTACTACCTTGGTTGCCATGGTAACGGGCTAATATAGATTTTTGCCCCATTTACTCTCAATTCAAGCATAAAAATGCTTTATACTTGATTTCATGTGGTTTAATCATCTTTATTATTTTGAGATAATTCATACATTATTTGAATAGAACAAATGAAGCACTATATAACACAATAAAAAAAAATTCCACAAGTCACTGCAAATTCTTCAATTGATGGCTCAAAGATGACCAAATTCTTACATTTTGAAAATGGTCGTTTTTACCCTATATTTTAAGAAGTCTTTCAAGAAATGCAGGCAATTCAAGAAAAAATCACCTGAAATTTTGGAAACACCATAATAATATTAGTTAACTTTTATGAAAAGTAGAGTGGGGATTTATTTCGTTTTTAACTTCGAAAATTGGCATTTTGCCAAATAATATTTTTTTTCAAAATGTTACTAGACAATGGTTGTTTTACAAAATTTCTTTTCCAAACATTTTTCTCACGAATAGATAAGACAAAGGGATGGATAAGTAAATATTATTAAAGATAAAAAATAAGATGAAACAAAATTAAATGAATTATTATTGTTTCTCTATGATCCTTTACAAAGGGCAGGTAACTCAAAATCTAAAGAAAATTAGCTATTCAACTTTTCACTGGAACTTATTTCAGTAAACAAAATTTTCAAATACTAGATAAAAAATGGAAAAAGATAATGAATAAAAACTCTAATGATACTTTTCAACCAAAAAAAAAAAATGAATAAATAAATAAATAAATAATAAATTATTAATTTTTCATGCATAGGAAGGTAGATATTAATTTAGCAGGTTTGAAATTTGATAAGCTAATGTTAATTTCCTCCATTTAAATTTTGCTTGTTCCCAGATGCAAATCTTTAGATATCAATTTTATTTGGATAAAGAAATTTAGAATTATTTAGACTGACCATAAATTAACACCCCATTAAAAATAAAACCATTAATGTATATTCTTACAATCAGAAAACATACACATATTCATGTGTATATGTATAATTTTATCGTTACTTTTAAAAACAGTTTTTTTTTTCAAATTATTAATCAAGCAAGAATTTACATCTAAACATTATCCAAAATGTGTATTTAGAGATAAACAAAATGTAGAAAATAACTGCTATATAGCAATTTTGTAGACAATAGAAACAGCTAGGCTTGATGTTTCCATGATTTCTCTTTACATCAGAGGTTGGCCATTATGTGGTGTTGTGTCTGACCAGTCAAGAAGAATTTTAAATGGGTTTGAAAAGTGAAACTTGAAATAATCATCTTCATCTTTTCCCCTGGAATAAAAAACATACATGTACTTTAATTAAAAATCAATTGTTTAATATCTACTACATTTTTCATGTGATAACAAATACAAGTATATAAGCATATCTATATCTTATATCTATTTTAAGCTAGTAGTTAGTATTTACACCTCCAAATAAATTGCCTCAGAATCCCTGCATGTGTACTTTAAAAAGCAGGCTTTCTATCACAGGTGCTTGGGGACGGGACCCCCCCCCCCCTCCCCTGCATTCCATACCCCAAGGGTTCTCCCCGACTTTTTTTTATATAAAATATTTTTCTATGACACATTCACAAAGTTTTTTTTGATTGAATTTAGACATAAAGAAACATACATACACATACACAAACACAGACACACCACGGCTGGAAAGCTTACATACAGATTTTTAGGAATAAACATGAAATAAAAAAAATATGAATACACAAGATATACTAAAATTATAATGTAGATGACATAAATTTATCTATATGTTTATGTTTTCAAATATCTGGTTCCAGTTAATCCATTTTCTTTTACATGTATAGTTTATACACATGAAGTTCATTGTTTTATTTATTTTTATAAAAATTCATACTCTTGGATACTAAAAGAGAACTTTTAGTATCAGAAAGTATGAATTTTTATAAAAGGTTAGTTTTAAATTATATTATGGATTTTTCAATTGTAATACTTTGTGAATGTGTCATAGAAATATATTTTATTTAAAAAAAAGTCGGGGAGAACCCTTGGGGTACGGAACGCGGGGGAGGGGGTCCCATCCTCAAGCACCTGTTCTTCATATTTTATCGCCTTGAACGCAGACAACAATTTGCTAATTAATGAATACCGTAAATAAACCATTAATAAATACAATACATGGCGCAGACGTATGTAGCGCTAATTCATGATTACGCCAACCACTCCATACCCAGTGATTGCGCTAAATTTTGAATACGCCAATTTATGTACACATACAGTATTTTCAGTGTAACCAATTGCAAGGTAAAAGTAACTGAAACAATTTACCATCACCTACTCCAAAAGCTTTCCCCATGCTCTAACAGAATCTTCTCCAAAAGAATATTGTTCAGTGAAGATACTGTCCGATGTTCAGTTCTCACGGTCAATTGCAAGGTTTCTTTCTCCATTAGTTAATTTTTGTAACTGCCTCCTGCTTCTGGTATTTAGCCTTTTGTTGAAATAAAGATGATAAAAACACAAGAATAAAGGTACTCTTTATGTACCGGTATCTTTTCACCTTCTTTTTGTCAAAGCACCAGTACATCTAAAATATGTTTAAAATATTTTTTTTTCAAATTAAATAAATTCATTCTTATTGTCAATCATGAATACATACATTTACATGGGTATACTATATTTATATCTTATTAGTGTATATTTATAGCTGCAGTTAAATTATTCTCTATTGAGAATCTGATGGCTCGTTTTAATACTCCCCCTCAGGGGGAGTATTAAAACGAGCCATCAACTTCTCAATAGAGAATACAGCTAAATATGTTTTGTTCTTTTACAGTGAATCTGAATTATATGACTTTTTTTTAGGCTAAAAAATTTTTATGTGTTTCCGTTAAGTCGACCATCTCTAATTTTTACCCACCACCTACCGGTACTAATTTTTTGGCCAAATCAGATTTTAAACTGTACCACTGGCGGATTTAGAGGGGGCCCAGCCCCCCCCCCCCCCTTTTGTGTCCAAAATATACATCAGGTTTAATAAATCAATTTTTTTGTGTGGCCTTGAGCCCCTACCCCGACACCAAACTGGTCCCTCCCCCTTTTCAAGATTCCTGGATCCGCCACCATGTACAACGTTACCAAAAATATATGTTTTTTCTAAATATTAAATTGCCTTGTGTATATTTGTCATTACATACAAACTTACATCTTCTATAACATTCTCCTCCTTTTGATAAACTTTGTAGTTATGATTTGCCAAAGTAAGTTGCTTTCTGAAGCAAGCAAAAATTCCTATAATGCAAATATATTACTAAGATGTATATCTGGAATGTCCTGCTAACATGGTGATCTTTGAATATAGACCAATTAAGTCTATTAAATAAAAAAAATATTTAATTTAAAAATTATGTCAATTTAATTGAAAAAGCTTCTTACATGTAGTTTTTATACAAAATGAATATTTGAAAAAATTCAAATTTATACCTGTGCCTAGGGTTGTTCTAGCCATTTCCACTGACTGCCGTGTCTTCTGCTTGTTGTATTCCTCCAATTGCATCTTGCATTTTTCTCATGGGTTTTAGATAGTACATGGAATCCCACATGATGGGAATGCAAGTCAGACTTCAAAAAATTTGTTTCAATATTTCGCAAAGTGAATTTGACTTTAAAAATCTATTATTAATAAAGACTTGTACATCATTATCAAGTTGAATACTGAGAAAGCAGTGTCTCCTTCTTTTGATGACTTACTTTGTCATTCACACCTGAATTCCATTTTAAAAAGTTGAAAACACACCATTTTTCTGTTATTGTTTCATGTTTATTTTTCTGGCGTCTGTTTTTGCCACATGTTATTATAAACTTCTTTAGACTTCAATACAGGAGAGTCAACAAAGGGAAATGACACCAGTTTAATTTTTTGTCTTCAGTGCAAAAGAGTCAGCAAAGGGAAATAACTCTAGGTTAATTTTTAGGAAAAGTTATAATTTGAGGGGATTGGAATATGACTTTTAACTGATTTCCCCACCTCAAATCTTTTTGCATCTTTTAGATCTAAGCTCGATCTTACTAAAAATATCTTTTTTCTAAGTTTCAATTGCCTGCAAAAATTAATATGCATATCAAGAAATAGGTACCTTTGTATTCATTTTTATGACAAATTCATGTAAATTGATCTGTATCATATTAAAAACCTTGGGTTAAATTGAATAAAATTTAGATGCACAGAAACTTTAATTACTTAGCTATAAAATGAAACCCATGTTATGTTGATAACTTTCCTACATTAAGGAAGCACGGAATTATTTTACATGGTGATGACAATCAGGTCAGTTTTGCCATAACAAAATATTTCAGAGTCGTTGCTATGGAAACCAAAGAGGTACTGTCCAAAATTTACCCACCAATAGTCTTTATATAGGGCACTCTCTAATATTATAGTGATAAAATAAAATTCCATGATAGTGCGTGGCCAAGCATTTTTGGTCCTTACAGAGAATTGATGTTATAACATGATATATACATTGGTATACGCTTCTATCGATTTTCACAATTTTCATTTTTATTGGAACATATATAAAACATGCTTTTACAGGTTTTATACATATAGTTCATATTAGAAAGTGAATTTCAATAGTTCAAACACTGAGATTTTACAGATTAAAATGATTTTTATGGCTTTGTTTCTTATCCTGGTGATCAATATGACATATCTAGTCTGCCAAATTGTTAGAATTTAAAAAAAATACGTGAAATTTTATTTTAAAAAATTACAGTGACAGTAAAATTCTTTCACAAACTTTCTCCTTGTTTCAACATACAGATCAACTCAGTCGTGAGGTTAAACACATTACAAAATAATGATGTACATGTACATATTGCATGGTCAGAAAAATCACTGTGATAAGAATATTTACCTATTTTTAGTGATTCTATACAAGAATGATATATTTAAATGAAATAAGACAAGTTCCTTGATGACAATTCAAAAGTATTTGATTGTCAAGAGCTAAGTCAGTAGCTAGTATGTTCATGGAATCAAAGTCTTAATATTGCGACTGAAAATGATGTTATACACACTACAAAACGCAATCACATGTGTTTTTTTTAACTTGTAAAACTCTTTCTGCGACAGAAGTTCTTAATTAAAAAAGGCTTCGTCATTCAATCTATTCCATACCGGGTTATCTTCTAAAAAATCATCCCTTTCAGCTTTATAGGAGTGCAGCCCTCTTTATATCAGTGGCTCAGTTCGTAAGGATCTCTATCAATAATTTGCTGACTCCTTCGTCGGTTATTTCCATTAATAGCATCTACCTTCCACTTCCACTTCCATTCTTGAATTTACTTACGAACGATTTATAAAAGCCTCTGGTTGGCCTATTAAATCTTCAATTGAATAAGTTTTTGGTGGAAGACAATTCAGTTCTGCTGATTTCGCCTTTTTAACTTTTAATGGACCAGAAGGACTGTCGTATTGTAAGCGTACATTATCGTGGAATCCTACACTGGGATCCTCGGGAAAATAATTGAAAGGCAACAACAGGAAGCTGAGATCAGTTCCGGGTGTGGGCATTATGGGAAGATCTTCAGAGTGTGGGATGTGATGCACTCCTAATGTAACCCAGGCTACTAGATCCTGAAATAGAGCAAATATTAAGCGATTTAAGAATAATGCATACTATTAAAATGTTTACATTAACGTTAATTTTAATTCTGTACTTTGTGGTAAAAATGTGCAATTATTTACAGACTTATCATTACCAAAAAAAAAAAGAGAGAAGAGATCTCTATAAATAAAACGTTTGAAAACATTAAAATATTGCTAACACTTAATACCTATTATGTACAATGTTTACAAATCACCTTAACGATTTTCTGACAAATTTCGCTTTATAAAATAAACTTTCGGATATATTGTGTTTTAAAATTAAAATCTGCAATATGATTACTCTAATGTGTCATATTGCAGAATTAAAGTTTGATAATAAACTTCATCAGACAGGAAAACAACTTTAAGCGTAGATTTTTAAAGAGACATTATACAGTGACACCTTAAAGCTGCTCAGGTGCTACATACCTCGCCATTTATATTTTCTTCCCCGATAAAATCCTCGAAGTTCACTTTCCTATTTTCACCGTCATACGTGGCGTATTTTGATGAGCTGTATGGTTCTGATTCCTTGCGTTTCGTGACGACCATTTGATATCGTGTCCAAGGTGACCCGGGTTCATTTCCAGCTCCCTGTGTTCGTACATTTTTGGCCATACCTTTCTGTAGTAGTCTGTAGGCTTTGGGGTTACCGTACTTGTCTTTATTATTTTCATTGTAAAATACGTGGTACTTAGGGGTGCTGAAATTATACTTATATGTTGCTTCTCTTTCTGTGGCATAGTTAACCTTTACAATTTTTTCTTGGTGCCAGTTCGAAGGATTTGATGCTTTAGAGAAAGGATTAGGAACTTCATCCGCTTCTACCTCGTAGGTAGCGTAGCTATTATTAGAACCTCCGATATCTAGATCTACTTTAAAATTGAAGAAATGGAAATGAAGAGTCCCCAATGCTTGGTCGGTTAGCTGAAATCCATATTTTTTGTCTGTAGATTTGAATGAAGATACAATTATCCCAGAGGCAGTGACCTTGGTTTCCAAAACCCCATTCTGATAGAAAATAAAATCAAATATATAGTCATAATTTACAAGAGTACCAATCATTCTTAGGATAAGCACGACATTAGGGGCACCCTCATAGTAACCGGAAGGTGTTTCACTGGGTGCATGATGGCGTCTCAGAGGACTTCCGGAATTGTGTTCAAATACACATATCGCTTTTTTGTTTGTGACAGGGGAATCCGATGTTTCAAACATATGCGTGGCGTCTAGGAATGTTGCGTGTGAGGGACAATCAATGCCAGGCACTAATGTTTTCATATAGAGTCGAATCATTACTACAGTGTCAAAATAATTTGTAAATCTTCCGGCAGGTTCCGAGGACGAGTAGAATACACAGATCTCTTGTAAACCCAGTTCATAGACAATCATGTCATTCTTAAATCTGATGTTGTAAAGCTGGGGACCGTGAGTTGGTGATATTCCGTAGTGAAATTTCCAGTTCATGTAAGTAACCGTTTGATCTTTAATGGAATAACGTTTACCATCGGGTTCGATCTCAATAGGCGGTCTCTGCAAATTTTCTGGAAATTCTTGATCATGCGTACGCATCTGAGGAAAATCTAAGTTCAGTTTATTAACTTCCCCTTTGTCCCATTTGTCCTTAAATTCTTGGAGTGAGACAAATGATTGACCATTGTACCAAACATCGGCCGTTTCCGGAACAGCACTTCCATTTATAGTTACAAGAACGGCAAAATCTACGGGATGCAAATTTTTTGGCTCCATCAGTTGCAGTAGTGGAAACCATATTCCTCGGAATCCTTGGCCTTCAACTTCTGCGATCACAGCGGCAAAAGGACTTACATTCTCTACTCCTAAACAATTTCCCCCACACTGAACGAGAGATCCTTTAAAACTTTCACGAAGAATATCACCAACGATTCTATTGGAATCTTCGGTCAATACATTCAGGGCAGACATATACTCTGGTATTGTGATTGGCCTAAAAGAAAACGGAATGGACTTAGGGCCACCGCAGAAACTTGGCTGCTGTGTTAATTCTACGCAATATTCCTCCACATTTGGCTCGATCTTACCGCCACAAAAAACTGTAACCAATGCTTTCCTGGTTGGCTGGGTTTGTTGAGTTGACTGTAGAACATATTTCTTCTCTGGAAGAATAAGTTCCATTGCATATACATAGTTTGAGGCAAGTACAGCCTTACTAGGCTTTGTTATATTTAAAGACTTTTGGGACAACATGAAGTCTAATATAGTTCTTATTTCTCCTCTGGTTAGATCGTGAAAAATTGGAGGATTTTCAGGTTCAGTAATATCAATCACACCGGAAACCGGATGTCGTCTGCATTCTGGGATGTCATTTTCTTCATCCTTTTTCTCTGCTGCAAGGACAATTACAACTATCAAAAGGACAAGGGCTATAACTCCCAAAACCAGTGCTAGACATTGCCAAAACCTTGGGTCTTTCAATTTCCCAGTGGATTTCTCTCCTATGGCATAACCCCCTCCTGCTGAAAGAAAAAGGAGAGCCATAAAGTGCACGTCATGTTAGACACGTAGTAGATCTCTACATTTTAAGTACAGCAATGTATATCAAATTTCAAACCCTGTAACTTAGCTTTGTGAGCCATGTCTTGCACAATTAAGGAATATCGTCTATTAGCATGTGAAAAACAATGGACGCAGGTATAAGAAGAAACTTTTCGTTCATAAAAGCTTTCCTGGACCAACAATTATTCAAATGACACTTTTTTGAAACGAAAACGTCCTATTTTCTCTACAGGATAACATGAAGAAGCTCAAGACCCTTTTTTAAAAGATCTAAATGCCCTTTTAAAAAGTAAGATTAATGTAAGGTTGATGAATATTAGGAAATTATAAGATAAACAGACAACAGAGTAATACAGGAAAAAGACAAACTCATACTTCAGCATTGTTCAGGTGAGCTATATCAAAAGCATACTTCAGTATGAGTCAGGTGCATGTGAGCTATATCAAAGGCATACTTTAGCAAGGGTAAGGTCAGCTATATAAAAAGCATACTTCAGCATTGGTCAGGTGAGCTATATAAAAAGCATACTTTTGCATGCGTCAGGTCAGCTATATCAAAAGCAGACCAGCACGGGTCAGGTCAGCTATATCAAAAGCATGCAGACTTCAGTATTGGTCAGGTGAGCTATATCAAAAGCATAATTCAGCATGGGTCAGGTGAGCTTTATCAAAAGTACACCAGTATGGGTCAGTTCAGCTATATCAAAAGCATACTTCAGTATGGGTCAGGTGAGCTATAAACTCTGAGGATTTTTAATGCACATTTTTATAATGAAATTATGTATTCTTAGCGAAACGCTTAACAAACAAGCATGCAAGAAGACATCAATTACAGGGTATGATTGGTAAACAGTTCAGGTGGAACGATTTACAGGCTTCTTTTTTGAAGATGTTTTCCGTTTTGCCTAAAAGGATGTTTCAAATTTGTCGGTGCAAGTTCAAATTTATTGCTATGATTTCATCTTAATTTGCTTTTGTCCGGAATACACTCCTCTTTTTAATACAGGAGTGAATCCTGTTCGCAATCAAATCTAAAAAAAACTTATTCTTTTAAAGCAAAAAAGGCTATTTAACATATACTAATCAAAACTTCTACCCACCAACCTAATGCACATGTACCTGTACCAGTACAGTTGCTTTATTTTATCAACCAATATCAGATAGCAGTCACGTCTTAAGATTGTTAGAAAAAAACTCATAAGTAATTTTGACTTCATCATATTGAATTATTCATTTCATAATGCTGGAGAAAAATTAATGGTTAACGAATAATGGTTATCAAAGATCTTTCATTAATCAGGGGCATATTGTAGTGATTTTCAAAATAAATTCCATTTGAAGGGGTGTGGTCCAAATTAGGCAAAATTTACCTATTCTTTTCATGAGGAAATCAGGAATTTGTCCTCTCTCGACAATACTACGGTTCTGAGGCCTGAACTTCTAATCAGGCATAACTAAATATGATATTCTCCTTAATTTCTTATGAAAAACCACTTCTTTCGTCAATCAGTAAATGTTGGTTTTTCAAGCCATCTATATATATATATATATATATATATATATATATATATATATATATATATATATATATATATATATATATATATAGATAGATAGATAGATAGATAGATATAGATATTCCTTATGCACTGTGCTTTTCAATCAATAAAACACAGAATAACAAGCACAACAATATTTTTAATAGGCCTACAATAATTAACGTACATAAACCTACTTGAAAAGATTATCTATAAAGGCATCAAATTAAACAATTTAAAGCAATATCTTTCTTTCTTCTTTTGTATGGGAGTGAAAGGTTGCACTCTTGCAGAATAAACTTTAATTTGCGGCAACTTTAGTTCCCGTGCAAAAAAAGAATTTTATTTTGATATTTTTTTTCTTAGAGTGACCTTCAGTTGAACTTCGCGTTTAAATGCATTTTCTTTATGTTTGCTTCAATATCCCATTAAATTATTCCGATATTTTTCACTTTATGCAGTTACAAGGTTAAGAAAGATTGATGGCTGAATGTGTGTAAAGATGTCACTGTTTAAAAAGAGATTGATTGACATTTTTGTAACTGGTCTTTATCTTTAAAAAAAAACTCTCATCTAAACTTCTCGACACAGACAATAAAGGCTTTAATGTTTGTTTTTGATGGAGAGACAGACAGAAGTAATTAAACATACATAAAATAAGATTCGTTATACTCACACATGTTTCTAATTCAGTCACAATCCCCGATGCTGCAATGTGCTACACCAGTAACGTAATTATTCCTCTGCACACATGCAGTTTTAACAAATTTTATGCCGCGTTCAAAATTGCTGGAGCTTGCTCAAAATGCATGGTAGGATGGGGATATCGTGTCTTACGCTAGCCTAGATACATCAGATAGAATGAGGTGTGTGCTGTATAGAAATACGTTACGGTTAGTCAAGCAGATTAAAGGGTCATTTACTCTTAACTGTTTAGAGATGAAACATTTCTATTGCATTTTCGAAATTTTATAACGACAACTAGTTTAAAGGTGCACTGAGCAGGAAACATCTGTGCAGGAACCACATTAAATGGCCTTGGAATCCCAAATTTTTACATAATCAGAATAAGGAAAAACACTGCATGACTGTATGAAATTCATAAAACTGAAAACTAGGCAAATGCATATATCGTTTGAAACGATGAGAGGCATTCACCCAAACGGCATGTGACCATTAAGACTAGTGGCCCAAGGGCCTGAACGGTCAGCTGAGTATAATACAACTTTGTAAAGAATAAATGAATTGGTAAATAATTATAATTATGATTGCACAAAATAAACTGAAACTAAAAACAAGAGAAAAAGGATGATCAGGGATCAACAAAATAGTTAATCTGGTAATCAACAACAACTTAGAAACTTGCCTGTATGTGCCAGTGCTATCTACACCCTATTGCTATCGCCAAATATAATAAGACAGTTTGATACTTCAGCATAAAACAAACATTTTGAAAGTACTACCAACACAAGCCCCATACCAAAATAACCTCTCATGGTCGGTGAATGATATTAATTCAACATATATAAGATTTTTTCGTCTCATTTTCATTCATTTATTATTTACAAGTTTACCTTCCGATTAAAAATTATGAAAGTATTTTTTCTTTAGTATATAAAAAAAAATTGCATAATTCTTTATTCAATTCACCTGTCAATCAACTACATTATTATCATTGATTAATTATATAATTAAATAAATGATAAAGTGGATAAACATCTCCTAAAGCAGAGTATATCTTCCCATACATGATCGTAATAAAGCCCAACCCTAACAACAAAACCAAGTGTCAGGGTCCATGAATTTCACAATATTGAAAGAAGTACTCTTTCATTCTTTCTCATAACAACCAGGCATTTAGTTTCTCTACCAAATACCCAAGAGGAGGAAAAAAGATTTTTCAAAGAATCACTGCATATTTACTATATAATCAATAGAGTTTACCCTGATTCCAGCATCCCTGTTCCAGGGGCCATTAATTTCACAATTTCAGAAGAGGCACTCATACTGATTATAGCCACGTACTCGATAAAATTCAACGCACTTAGCTTTAAATTTATTTAAAAGTAACTTTTATCTGACCAAGTTATGGTTATGGCTGCTGTTGAAAAAAAAAATTATACCATGTCAGGGGAGCAACAGAGAAAAATTAAATGTTGCCAAAAAATTAATTTTAAAAATCTGCATGACGATTCGGTCAAAAAGTAATTTTCAAAGTACACAATGTAAAAGGTACAATGACTAATATACCACTTAAAAGTTAAAAATGTTATATGAATCACAAGCAGCATTAATGAAAGTCAAGTATCTGTGAATACCTATTTATGTCAAGAGGGCAGCATTTGATTTTTTTCTCCTCAAAAAAATGTCAGTATTTGATTTTTTTTTCTTCCTATTTTGAAAAATAAGGATACAACTTAAGAACATTTTTACCAAATAAATATCTCCCTGCGTTTCAAATCCATATTTCTACGGTCAGGAGTGCAAAGCATTTTCTTAAAGTTCCAAATTCAATGATGAAATGACTTCTATTCATACTACATGTAAATAAGTATTCTCTTATCAATAAGAATATATGTGAATAATTTAAATTAATAATAGTTTTATTACTGAAATATGTCCCTTTTTCAATTTTTTTTTTTCAATTCATATGTGTTTTTATTTTTTCCTATAATTTCTTTAAAAAAATTTAAAAGACACACAGAAAAATTGTAATAAAATTCAGATACTTCCACCACGACTTCACTGAAACAATGAAACATGTTTTTATGTAATCTATGCTTAACACTTATACATTAAAGTCTCACATGTTCTTCGTCAGGATTGCACAAAAATGTTAGAACTATAAATAATCAAATAGTAATAGATATAAAGAAAACATAATGAGTAGAATGTTTCTGGTTGAGCTCAGTTGCTTACAATGATTGTCACATGAAGTAAAATGTCCTATAAAATATACTTTTATCTTATAAATATATTTTTATCTAGTTTTGTGATATAATAAGGCATCATTCAAAATATAAAGCCAATTTTAAACAAGTTTCTGCATTTTAACCATCAAGCATTTGGACTCTAAATATAATTGCACTATTTCGTGACATCTTGATGTTATTAAAACTTTATGAATTTTATGTGTTTTATGGTTTTATTTTAAACTTTTACTACAGTCAGGAATGTAACAACTTTGTTTTATAATTAACAGCAAAATTCCTTTCTTTACTAAACAAAATTGCAGAAAATGTTTGATACTATTTGTAGTTGAAAACATATGTAAAAGTCTCAAAAAAATCTATTAACAATGCAAATCTGTGAAGAGGGCAAAAAACACCGACCCCTGGAGATTCCAGGGGTTGGATCAGGTGCCTAGGAGGAGTACGCATCCCCTGTTGACAGGTCACATCCGTCGTGAGTTGTATGTATTGATCATACGGAAAAATGTTGAAGAAACACTCTTGCTTAACATAACAAAGAACAAAGTTATGGTCATGCATTTCATTGTATCGGTAGAGGGCTCAATTCTGATTACAATCATACCAAAAGTTTGACTGCTCGATGTCCAGGAGTAAAGAAGAAGGTTTTTGAAGATTTCATTAATTTGGTGGTTGGGCCACACCCAAGGCCCCATGGGGACAGGGACCATGAATTTTTGTTCTTGTTTACCTAAACTTTTTGATGTTATATCCCATAATGGGTTGAAATTCGTTCAGTGGTTCCAGTGAAGAAGCTGCAAAAATATTCAAATGTTAACGGACGACGGACATAGATAGTATTACAGCGATAACTAATATCATAATAGGTACAATCAATAAAAATCCAAATTAAAATGAATAATCGAATGGAATTTATCAAAAATTATTGTCCATTCATACGAGTTTTTCAACATTCTCCAGATTGAGGAGCCTAAGTCGGTATGCCGATCCTGAATTAATGGAACAATTGGTACATCACACAGGTTTTTCAATCAAGTCGAGAACAACATAGGCCCTTTTTGTCAAGTCAAGAAAATTGTATAAGAATTTTTTGATCATTAATACAAGCTTAATTCAAGAATTCCCGATATTCACGATAAAAAGTCGATATACCAATTCCACTTTATTTTTTAGGACAAATAATAGAACAATCGGAAAATCACATTTATTTCCCCTTCAAGTCGAGAACAAATCGAGAAAATCGACCTTACATCTTTATTGACGGAAGAGGCCGTAATTTCCGATTGCTAACAGAATGCATCTAAATTTCAGTTTGTTTGGTTAGAATCATTAAATAAAAATGGTTGAAAGAAACTAACAGTAGGTTATAAACATGTTTATAAATGCTAGTTACATGTAACAAAGCCATACTTCTCAAAATTCATGACATAGCAACGGTTCAGAGTATTCTTAAAAATAGGTCAAAGGTCAAGTGAAGTGTAACGTTGTTATGTTTTCAACATATGTCAAGCAGTGCACTTGCCAAATAATACAAACTTACCTCTACAACCAAAGAAAATGTGTTTATAGGTATTATGGTGTATTTTAAAAACTAGGTCAAAAGTCAAATTCAAAAGGTCGGTAAACTTAAGTTTGTATTTTACAAAAGTCATTTTTTCCAAGCAATACATGAGCCAAATATCAAATTCCTACCTTTAACAGTTCTCAAGATATTAGTTGTGACAGATAGACAGACAGTTCTCAATATATTAACTGTGACAGATAGACAGACAGGTGTACAGCTCTGAAGGACAGACCGGCCGACGCCGGATAAAGTTATCCCTAAGTTTCTCTCTGCTCTGCAGACGACTCAAAAATTTTTATTACCCCTCTGTCTCTCTGTCTGCCTGGTTGGGATGGTAATACATAGTTGTATTGAAACAAATATTATCATAAAAAAACAATTTAACCTTATATTTAATCTCGTGACATTTTCACATAATTCAAAGGCAAGTTGAAGACAGTCCTAATTAGAATTCTGTATAAACCCAGCAGCTGAATTGACTTGAAACCTGAAGATTTCATCAAGTATATATTGACAACTAATATTAATTAATTAAGGGCATTTCAAAACCAAATGAAATAAATGTATCCTCAATATCCGAATGACACATTTTAAATATCGGTTATTCATTGGTGTATTATGGTGAGATGAACACCATATAGAGATTAATACGTTTTCTACATAGATGATTCTTATATTGGGTTGGAATAGCTTTTTAATATTGAAATTATCAATGATATGAATTAACATTTTGCATCCTGAACAAATGAACAAAAGCTACTTTGAGTAATAAAAAAGCGCTCTGTTAAATAACAAAATAAAAATCGAATTTTTGATATTATTATAATTTTTTGTTAATACTATAAATCGCCTAGACCAAGTTCAAATTTCAAGATATTTTTTATTATTAATGTTTTCAAACCAATTACTTGATTTTTTCCCAGATTCCTCCGGTAACAGGTTATAATAACCTTGTAAATACTTTTTAACCAGAATTTATACATTCTAAATAAAATTAAAATCTCTATTTCTCAGTAGATCTTTACAGAATTTGTTTTCCCCCATGATACATTTCCTTTCTTTGTAAAATCCATTTCAAAATCATTCACATATTACGAGAATAATTATTAGAAATAACATTTCCCCTGGCCTTGTAAAAGACCTATTAGATACGTTTCAAGAATTAGTAGTCTTGCAGTCTTCGAAACCAGGTCTTCAATCATACTATTAGAAATTCGATGGGAGCTTATTGTGCCCCGTTATCAAGCGACCTGTTTTTAAATTCCTGTGAAGCAGAATTT